GCCGGAGAGTGAAGAGACTCGACGCAGGACGATGTCGGTCGACTTCTAGATTGATTTCCGAGGCTTACGGGGGCCGGAGAGTGAAGAGACTCGACGCAGGACGATGTCGGTCGACTTCTAGATTGATTTCCGAGGCCCAGGGGGGACCGGAGAGTGAAGAGACTTGATGCAGGACGATGTCGGTCGACTTCTAGATTGATTTCCGAGGCCCAGGGGGGCCGGAGAGTGAAGAGACTCGATGCAGGACGATGTCGGTCGACTTCTAGATTGATTTCCGAGGCTTTCGGTTGGGGAATAAAGGAGAGTCACCTCCGGGTCGAAGTTATTGTGCAATAACTTCGACCCGGGCAGTGGCAACGTAAATTCGGCTGGTGGACGAAAAGTCACAGTGTTCAGTGGACGGTGAGGATGAAGTGACAGATCGACTTGCGTCATATGAATGTCGTATCAGTCTATCAGAAGGACACTGCTCGTTTAGTCGGCAGAAATTAGAAAGAATCTGTTGTTTGACATTGATGTTCTGGATATTTAGAAGATATCATTACGAATTTTTTTTTCCGATTGGTTCTTACTCCCTCTCGTTGTTTTCTGATTGGTTCGTTCCCTTGTTACTATTTGGAAATAAGATCGGTTCGGGTCACGTGAAAGGTCTGTGTTAGAGAGTTAACCCGACACCATCTCTGGACTTTCACCGGTAGACGTTGATGGAAGTATGAGACCTGCGCTCGTATTTTAGCTTGTTATTTCCTTTCTTTAGACAGTTTAGAAGTTAACGATGGAACGCGATGTTTTCTGTTTGTCAAACGTCCTCTTTTCTCGACTCGGTTTAAGTAGTCATATTGTATATATTAGCGATAGTGTCAAAGTTCAAACTCTCCGGCTCGACACTGATGTATTACTTAACACGTGTCGGAGTCGCATTGGAGAATCGCTTGTTTATCCTCGTGTCTCCTTTATTATAATCGCAATTTGTTTATTTTCATCTTTTGAATACCTATAATTCCTTTAAAATGTGATATAAATTTATTGTAAGAATATTAAAAAATTCTGCTTTTGTATTTAGTTCGATAAATCCAATTAGAAAAAATTAAATTTTTATACTTATTGATACTTTTAAAATTGGATTGTAAGACGGAAGAAGGCAATTTACGTGGGTAAACGTTTACACGGGGAGGGGTACTTCGGCCATGTGCCTCCGGACTTTCTTCTATAGGAAGCTGGTCGCTATTTAGGTGAAGAAAACGTGGTAAATTCCACGTGTCTAGCTCGACCAACCCTCGACCAACTACTGGCATTGGGTTGTTTCTCCACTCGACACTACAGTGACGTGGCTTCTTACAAATTATAATTGCGGGCCTGGTGAAATGACAGTAGGCCAGATAAAGCCTCCAGAATGCCTTAGAATCACTACCTCACGCTATAAAAAGGCTCGATGTGTTAAGAATTTTCGGTGTAGCGGTGATTTTTGGACGGCTTCGATGTCTCATACGACGCAAAGGCATTACGAAAGAGTTTGAGAAAGGCTTAGATCGTATAGATCTTTGAACACTAGAATCGAGGAACATAAAGACAGCATTAAGAAGCAGCTGTGTACAACTTGGTCTTGGCCACCTTTGCTTGTGACAGTGAAAGAAAGATTTACTATGCAAAAATGTGCGAACGTTCCCTATAATTTGTCATATATATTATTCAGATTTGATTAACTTGTGTCGTTATATATTAGGATTTTAACGTTGTTTTTTTTTATAACTAATGTAAGAATGCCTGTTTTTAATGTTAAAATATAGTTTTACTGAGTTCCAGGTGATGAGATATCTATTATCATATAAATATAAAATGAAAACATACCTTTTAAGAAGTTTTCGGCAGAATGATCTTTCAATTCGTTTATTATATCGTAATCTAATCGACCAAGACACTCGTCTTTAACTTTGCCCGTATTTTCATTAATCTTTTTTTCCTTTATGTAAATAATTGGGACGAATAAACGACCGATAGAGTTTCTGCCCAGAATAGTTGGTTTCGTCTTTGTTTTTTGTCAAACGTTTGACGATGGTCGACGTCGATCTTAGAGGTGTTTTAAAGCAACGTCTTAAAAAATTAAATCTGTAAAGATTAAGATAAATTAGATAACCGTTGTTTTGTCTCTGATAAAATGCAACTGCAACAATACGAAACAATACTAAAGTTTACAAAACGTTAGTATTTATTACTATGCATTTCGAATGCAAATTTTTGTTTCTTTTGCACCCCTCTTCAGCTAATATAGATCTAAATTAGGAGAAAACGTATAGATAGTACAAAACAATACAACATTTAAATGATTCACATTGTACTATACAAACTGACCTCTTTTGCTAAACACAAACCGCTCCGTTTTACCAATCCTCGAAGCATCGTTCTACCAGCCTTTGTCTGTTTTCACGCTATTTTAATAACCTTTTATCTTTACTTGCATTATTTTTCTTAATAACTCATCATTGTTTTTTATCGAATAATTTGAATAAGGAATTATTTTTAATTTATAGAGATTTTTCAATATTATACACTTTTCTGAATACAAATTTCCACTCCTTCCTGTTAACATTATCTCACTTTTTAAAATCTTTTATCTAATTTTTTAATGTCTCCTTTTATTTGGTGTTTTATATTTCTTCTATCCCCTTCTTTTGATTTAAGGCTTTATCAATTACGGAAACTACATCAATTGCTTTATCAATTAGTGGCATATTGTATTCTACTCCTAGTTTCAATATATTAGTTATTAATTTTGGAATTTCTTTAGTTGTCTTATTAACTATTAACTTACTTTCTCCACTTCCTTTTTTCGCTTGGCGTTGGATATCCGAATAGTTTTTGTAGTGTCTGATCTTTTCTTTAATTAACTGGTAGGAGAAGGTGGTGCAAGATGTGGCCATGGGGTTAGACGGGGACGTCTCATCTAGCTGTTATTTGGGGAACTAAATGTCAACCTCAAAAGGGATCACGGGACGAGAGAACGTCCGAATCGCTCTCTTTGTTTGGAAGTAAGACAGTTTTCCATGTTTCGGCAATACTTCGTCTAATTTTACGCCCGCTATAAAGTAAGCATCATTGCGAACTTTTATATTATCTTTTAGACGAAGATATTACGGTATTCGAAGTAACCTTTAAGACCGAAATTGTTTAGTTTTGAAATAAAGTCGACCCGTGTTTGCAGTCAGTATGAAAAGTGCACGTTGAGGCATGAATTCTGCTGCTGGCTAGAGGCACCGCAATACAGTGCAGCGAACTAGTTTTAAATTCGTTGTCATTGATGATTCTATATCATTTTTTCGAATATATAAAATAATAAGTTTAAAAATGATCTTTTTACAGAAAACGAAATATTCCACTTTTAAATCATATCTAATTGTAATGAATTTATACAGTAGGGAAAGGTGGGGCAAGATGAGAACGTTAATTAAGGTTTGTGTCGGACCTCCTCGCCCTTCCTCTCCCGCGGTTTCGCCGGAACGGATGCAACACACCCACACGCGGTGACAGAAGGGCCATAAAACACGGGGGAGAAAAGCGCGGGAAGAATGAGATGAGAGAGGAGTTGGGGACACGAGAAGGAGGGGGAGTGCGAAGTAGTGGTCCCCGAGAGTGAAATAAAGTATTTTATTTTGTGGAAAGATTGGGCTGTTTTAGTTGGTGTGACGAACCGACGGGGCGGAATCCTCTGATTAAGAACGGGTTCCCTACAGTTTTGAAAAGTCATAAGATGACAACGATAATTTTTCTATTTTCAGCAACTTCAACATTTGATAATATACAATACAAAATTTAATTTTTCAAAAACGTTTTTAAAAACAAGAAAATTTAATATTTTAAAATTACATGTAAATGCGCCATCTTGTCCCACCCGTGGGGTAAGAAGGGGTTTATCACAGGTCAAACATTATTTGAAAACTAAACAATTACAGTCTTAAAGGTTACTTCGAATACCATAATATCTTCATCTAAAAGGTAATGTAAAAGTTCGCAATGATACTTACTTTGTAAAAACTGTAGCGGGAGTAAAATTAGACGAAGTATTGCCGAAACATTGTCTTACTTCCAAACAAAGAGAGCGATTCGGACGTTCTCTCTTCCCGCGATCCCTTTTGAGGTTGACATTTAGTTTTCCAAATAACAGCTAGACGAAAGCGCGTAAACCAAGAATAAACAGACGTCTCCGTCTTACCTCATCTAGCACCACTTTCCCCTATGTACAGTGTTACTTTATTATTTATGTTTTTACGTTTTATTTTATTTGCGAAAACATTTTTTTAATTTAAATACTATCTTAACAAAAAATAAAATGTAAGATAACAATCGAAATAAAAAAATTTTTTTTTACAAAAAAAAAATATCGTCTGTTTACAAAATAGCGAAACTGAGCATGCGCGAAGTGACAGTATCGTCTGGTAAAGTAAATCTCCCATATATCACTACGTTGTATGATAGGTATACAGTCGACCCCCTTATAATTACGGTCCCTATAATTACGATTCCTATAAAACTACGAAAAAATATACGTATTTTGGAAATGTTGAGTCGGATTAGTGTAGAATCGATTAATTTTATGGAAGAAAACCTTTCAATCAGCCGTAGTCCGTAAANTAATTAAATGCTGTTGTACAATTATAATTATTTATCTTTTTAATTTTAATTACGAATTTAATTATCCTAACACACAATCTAACATCATTCAAATCAAATTAATTTACAAGTCAACCCTCTCGTTAATTCTGGGTCTTACTTTAAACACTGTTTTAAATGTGTAATACAATTAAACCTGTCCAAACCGGAAAAAATATTCGTTACCGCGCGATTCCGGCTTACACAGGTTTTACTGTACTTCATTAAATTAATGAATTAAGAAAATTTTAAGGACTAATTTATATACAGTCGACCCCCCTATAACACTGTTGATAATTCCGTTTTATATAAATTCCATGTAGTACGAGTCACTTAGATTTTACAAATACGTGTGCCGGGCTGTGAACGGCTCACGTATTTGTAAAATCTAAGTGACTCGTACAACATGGAATTCATATAAAACGGAATTATATAACTAATACAGAATTACGGGCATGATTCTAGGACCGGTGAGGGAGGAAACCCCCAAACGGTAGACCCCCTTACGCGATCAAAAAATGTCTACGATTTTGGGGGTATATCTCGTGAAAGGTCGCCCCTACGGGCGACACTTCACGAGATATACCCCCAAAATCGGATCGTCTAAAACTATCGCGAGCGATAGAAACCGCTTCTAAACTCGCTAACCACTTCCGGCTTAAAGTATATACTGAGCGAATTTCGAAAGCCAATGAGAAAAGCGATTTTTATTCGCTTAGCGAAATTGACTCGTACGACCAAAAGCGTAAAGCGATTGCGAATTTTAAGCAGCCGATCATTTTCAAGCGAGCGAAAAAGTCATCTCGAAAAGAAAATGGCCGCTTCCGATATACGCTCGGTGTGAACTAAGCTTAACTGCCGACGTAAAAAGCGAAGAAAACAGACACTCACCTTCGAAAGAGGCGACGCCGTCTAGTCTGTTGCTGACGTTGGTGAGGACGGGGTGAGGCCGCTGGTCCCTGCCTCGGTTAGTTCCTGGCCTCCGATGTTGTCTGAAAAATCACATAATCCAGGTTTCACAATTTCATATTTTATACTGTTATCTAATATTAAAGAAGCATCAATAATATTATAATTAATAAATATTAATTCATAACTTATTATACAGTGTAATCGTAAAGTAGCTCCACGTTGGCAGAGACTTCCGGAAACGAAGTAATGACGTCATAAACAATCCACGCGTCGAAACAGTCGCCACGGATTTTAATAAACTTCAGTTTGACGCTCTGTATATTTGCTTTCGTCATGTCCCCTCGGATTCGCAGGAAATTCTTCTTTGACTTTATTACCTGAGGTGCCGAGATGTCCTCCGTTTTCTAGACACAATCAGACTCCTCCTGTTGTTTTAAGCTGGATTAATTAAAATATGCTTAATAATGAGGAGTAGTGAAGAGACACGTGACTTTTTTCTGTCCGTGCAAGATTTGGAACTTGTTTCTTTAACACAAATCCTATTGCTGCTCCACAGAAGAAGTCTGGTGTTGCCACACCTGGAAATCGTAGTAGCCTAACTCCTTTCGAAATTATCTTCTTCCCGAAGGTGTGATGCAATAGTATTATTGAACTCCTAGCTGCGTGAGAAGTTGCACCGTCTTGTTGAAAGTAGGGTTTGGTTTGGTTTATTTATATAAGGCAATGCGACGTGTGGGCGATCTGACAGGGAGGATGCCTCCCGGGTGAGCCATAGAAAACTGGCACATAGGTATTACAACTCTGGAGAAAATCCGGAAAACTACACGTGGCCTTGTGCAACGGCGTCTCGTACACTCCGTGTGGGTGCATAGGATTATGTGAATTGATAACGTAAAGCAAGCCTCGTCCGTAAAGAAAGTCCTGTCGAGCACCTCAATTTCTCCATGTTCTAACTTGGAACCGCTCGCAATATGTCCACCTTTTCTCATAATCTGCAAGTTTTCACACCTGCACAAACGTCACTTTGTAAGGAAGGAACTTTAGTTTTTACTGTAAAGCTTTTCCTTAACTCATGTTTGTCCTCTTGTGATAACTTCCGCAGTGTTTTCGTGGGTCTTAACAACATCTGATAAATAATCGATGATTAAAATTCGCCGAACTCTCCATCGTGTGCATGGTAAACCAAGCCCTTTAAGTAACCATAACTCCAACGTCAAGTCGGTCTTATTGATAAGCGAATTTAATAATGTCAGTTGACTGGAATTTGTATAATTTGGTATTCGTGAGTACGAATATGCATACTAGTTCCGCGTATAGCCCCATTTTCCGCCTAGTGGCAAAAATTTGAAATAAAACTTTTATTACCAAAGTCGAAATTCCACGGTCTGAATAATACGTTCACCGACTTTGGTCGAGGTTTTTGGTCGAACAGATTTGGTACAATCGAGCTCGAAACGCCTGTACTTTAATCATGGTCATCCAATATAACGGCTGGGAAAGTAAAAATAAATCGTGTCTTCTCTCGACGCACAGTAGAGACAGGATTATCCAAGGTAATCGAGCCGAATATAATCGGATAACACGAAATGTTTGGTACAACGCAATCGACAAAATACAAAATACAGTAATTACAAAAACAAATTTTAAAGGCGCTTACGAGAACTGCCGAAGAGAAACGGATGACTGTCCAAACTGCTTTTACCGTTGTTACAATTAACAACTTGTGTTCGTCTATTTCTGGGCGATTTCTTTTGTTCATTTTAAAAATTATTCTTGTCGTGAAAAGTCGTCAGAATAAATTTTTCTTTCAAAACAAAGAGCGTCTTCAAATACCCCACAATCACCGAACCGACAACACTCGCTCACCATTGCCCAGTGTCCGCGGCCGGATGGCCGAACGGTCAAAGCCAACCTCTCTGGGGGACCCGGGCTCAAATCCGAACGGGTCGAAAAATCCCCAGGAATTTTTCGGGAGGTGGTCCCTTCGGATATGTCAGGCCCCGTCCCTCACCTCCCGGCAGCCCCATTGTGGGCCTGGCCGAACCCATAATGGGCTTGCAAAAAGAGGCACTCCTAGTGCCCACAGGGCGGAAAGAGTTTAAAAAGAACGTGCCCAGTGTCTAAAACCACTAAGCATTGGTAGTCGGTTGTAAGTTAGCACTGACAGTCCGGATTTGAAAAGAAAAGGAGAATGAAAAAAATCATAAAGGATATGATTAAAACTTTTCCCACGGACTGGCTTCCTTGTTTAAGGTGACACATCGAATGTGTCACCCGGAACAAACGATCGAAATTCAACTATTGGCCTCGACGTATGATAATTCCTTATAAGGTTATGGGAAAAACCCACGAGGGGATCGATGACAATCGTCATTCGCCGTTATCTATAGTTCCGTAAACTGGTGCGCTCGCCGGTCCCTTTTGCACACTGCTCAAGCCGTCGCCCATCTTCTGCCATTCTCGAGACATCAAAAAACTTTCATTCGTCCAAGCTTCTCTCGAACCTAGGGGACCAGGAGTACTGTACATCGATCCGCCGATTCTGAGATTCCAAAAGGGACACACACACTCTCTCTCGAGATCAGGGTCCCGCGATATTAATGATAAGGGTTAGTTTTTACTATAATTGTTATACAAAATTAGCGCTAGCTAAGCGTCTTAACCAACTTCTGTATATTATTGCTATGTAAATAAACGGGTATTGTGAATCGTTAAATAGGTAGTAGCGTACACTTCTTCCAGTCCATTTCCATTCCGAGTCCAAGCGCCTACAACACGATCGCTCGCGCGTAAAGGTGGGCACCGAGTTTTCTGTGTCCGCCTAAAAGACACAGTAGTATCAGTCCTGACGATTTAGTCATCGCAAACGCGGTCTCGCGGTGCAGAAGCATAGGGGCGGCGCTTCGCGCATTGTCGCACAAACATACCAAACCAACCAAACTAATATTCGTAAAACGAGCTGGACCCTTCGTGTGAGACCCCGGAAATAATCCAAAAAAAGGAATGTAAAATTTATTAAGTTATTAACCATCGAGAAAACAAGTAATGTATGTGTCGAGTCTGCGACACCGGACTTCGACATGGTCGCTCAAAAAGAATAAAGGGGGAAACAAAATTTCAGAATAAAAGAAAATTTAAAGGGGAATTATTTAAACCTTACGAAACGAGAATTTAAAAATGAGCATAGGTGTCTTAATCGTCGATAAAGCGCGATCAGAATCGATAGGATGGAGTCGAATAAACCGCTGGGCAGACCTTTCTCGCCACCTAAACTGGTCTCAATTTTCACCTAGGGACAGGTAAGAGACCGATAGAGGAGCGGGGAAGGGAATTACAAACGAATCAATCACGAAAGAATTGTAAAACCTCCGCCGTCGAGGACAAACAGGCTGCCTCTAGAAAATTCTTCTTTTTGGTCGTCGTTCTCTCCCTTCCGCGCTTCCGCTACAAAGTGCCTAACTCACCTCTATCCATTGCATCTTTTCTACGCCGAACTCTTTCTCGCCACGGCCCCGGAGCTCTATCGCCGCAAGACGAAAACACCTAGAGACACCCAACCGAGGGGACAGCGACATCTGGGACCTCGTAAGCGATGTTGGAAAAAAATGAACGGTTTCTTTGCGAAATATTTGTCTTTTTCTGCCTCCGAAAACCACCAGCCACATACGCAAAGTCCATAGACCATCCCGACTAAAAAGGAAAAATGAAAACCACCTCTTAATCAACGAGCTTACATTCGCTGTTCGCGTTACTGCTTATAGTTCTGTTGCCCGGTAAATCTACTTTAGACATCTTCGTTAATTTGCTAATTAGGCATAATCTGTTGTAAGTTCTTCCGGGAAACATCCCCGGACGAATTGCCCAAGTATTGTATTGCGTCATTCTGTGACAACCCAGGTTAAAGTAAATTCGGCGATTTCAATTTTTTTTTTTTCTGTCAAAAAAATAAAGGGGAGAAGTATTCCATTTCACAAATGCAGTCAAGGAACTTTATAAAATTCTCCAACGAATAGCACTTCCTCGGTGAGTGACACTACTTATTGAGGGAAATAGAGAAAAAAATCGCGGATTGGAGCAACCGACAACTTTACCAAAAGTGAGCATTTAGATTGGCAGGGGGAGAACTCCGAATAAAAGACAAGAGGACAGACGACGACACAGAGTTCGTCTGCCTAAATCATGCGTGTTAAACTTCTACCGCTCCTCCGGAGGACCGAGTACCGACGAAACGAGACCCTTCTCGACCCGGACTAAGCCTTCTGTTTTCGAGAAATCGGGACCGCAACTAACCGTTCTGGTATTTATCAACTCGCGTCCGAAACTGTGTGTTTTCTCTCTGTTTGACGCGCTGGTAGGAATAGACTCTTCCACCGTTTTATGCCCTTGTAAAATAGTTCTAACTTAGCTAAATAAATTGTTATTTAATTAACGTTTAAATGCGCATTAGAGTGGGTCATTTCCGGCGCCCGAGACTCGCGTACGGAGTTAACAGTCACAATTCAGTCGGTGACAAAATCCTTAGGATTGTGTTGTTATTGCATCTCGAATCAGAAATTAATACAAGGATCAAATCATAATCAAAGCCAGAATAATCTCCAGTTCAAATGTTCTTTATTCATATTTGAATATTCAAATTACAAATCTTTTCGGACGATCCAACGGATGTTAAAGAAGCGAAGACGGAAGATCGCCGATAATCGGTCCACCTCGGAGTCAAACTGCAAATATTTTAAAGTAAAATTATATCTGAATATATTATAAGTAGCATTTTGCCCGTTTTCCACAAAACAACAGTCAAAATTTTGTAATATATTTAGAAATTTCAATAAAAATGTATTTATTAGGAGGTATTTAACGCTTATAAACGGAAGTACAAGGTCTGTTCAAAAAGTATCGGACCTTTGGTCGGCAAAAATAAATTTATTGACTTTGAGGTACAAAACCCTAATCCCCTTCAAAGTAGTCTCCTTGGTAATGTATACACTTCTCCCAGCGTTCCTGCCATTGCTGGAAACACTGCTGGAACGCATCTTTTGGAATGGTTATCAGCCGGTCCGTCGCATTTCGCATGATGTCTTCTCTCGACTAAATTTGGGTTCCTTTTAGCGGCATTTTCAGCTTGAGAAATAGCCAAAGGTCACACGGAGCCATGTGGAGAGAGTACGGAGCGTGACGAACCACAGGAGTATTGTGTTTGGCGACGAAAGCCCGAATCAGATGCGCAGAATGGGCGGATGCGTTATCACGATGGAGCTGCCAAGTTTTGATCGACCACAGATCCCATCGTTTGCATCGCACTGTATCGGAAAGACGACGAAGGACCTCCTGGTAGTACTCCTTTGCGATGGTTTGGCCTTGTGGTGCGTACTCACGACACACCACCCCACGAGAGTCGAAAAAACTGTCAACATGACCTTTGATATTGCTGCGGACCTGCCGCGCTTTTTTTGGCCTCGAGGATCGTCCCCGAAAGCCTGCTGAATCTTGCGAATGGTTTACACTCGGGTATCGCCAAGGTTTTTGGCAAAATTTGATGTAATATCGCTGCTCACGTTGTTCAGTCATTTTCCAGCTTAGTGAAATCCGACGAGAGCGCACTACATGACCTCACTCATACGCCGATTGCCAACGACTGACGCTTCCTGCAGGCGGGAAAAAATTCAGGGCTGTGCATGACTGTCCCCTCCACAACTCCACCGAAGAAGGCCTCTCTCGCATCATTGGTTTACGCGGAAAATAAAAAGGTCCGATACTTTTTGAACAGACCTTGTAAATAGTAATTATCGTATAAATATTTTAAAATTAAAGTGATTTTATTCTATAATAAATGAATAAAATTACATGGGTCCAGACCTCCTTTAATTCCAGTCATGGAGTTTTCTTCAATTTTCTATCTTTCATCATCTGATAAACTATATTTTCAAACGCATTTTTAATGTAATCCATAAATATTGATACCAGAGTAGATGTTAACTGTCTTCGTTTCAAGTTATATTTATCACGTCCTTTGATTTTCGCGTAACGACCTTCGCTACTTTCTAACAAAATAATCCCTGAAAAAATATATATTAATCTTAATTGCAATTAATTTCAAATAAAGCTAAACCCGTGAACAGCGGCCACCCAAGGAAACGTTTAAAATTAGCGAATTTGTAGATTATTTTCTACTCATTCTTCTTAGAAAAATGTTTCCGTAAAAACGCTACCGTTTAGGGATGTCCATTGCCGCGAGGTAGCCATTGTCGCGGGTTCGACCATATAAAACTATTATAAAGTACGTCGAAAGATACTTTATAAACCTTACCCATAACGACGACTATAAACAGGAACTTGTTCATCTTCGCTTGTTAGTTTTTCTTCCGCTTTTCCGTTAGTTTCGCTTCCGCTTTTCCTGGAGGTTTTCTCCAAAGAATGCCGAAGACACGCGATTCGCACCTCTTTATATGAGAAAAATATGCGATTCGTCGTAATTTCATTGGTTGCGCGACAGCTGGATGTCGAACCAATCGAAGTCGATGATGTCGCGCGTGGGAATGTTAAAATGTCCAATGATGTAAATGTTTATTTAAATTTGCATAATTTCCTTCAGTATCCAATTCGAGCTCCTCCCGGGGCTGGACTTAAACTTGTAGGTTAAAATAGGTAGAGTTCACTACTTGTCCAATGGACAAAACCACCGAACTCTAGTCGCAGCTTCTCCGGGTTATTCGAGTGTCTAACGCCGAAATATCGGCCAGTTATCTGTACAAAGTTCTTCTAAAAGTCATCTCTTCCCTCACCGCGTTGTATTATTCTATTAATCTTACGACATATAACGGGTTCTTTCTCCACCAAATATAAATACTTAAATATATATAAAGGTCACGATCTAAGTTCTGAACATATTACACGAGGCCTTAAACGGTAGCGTATAATTATAGAATAAAGGGCCTTTCGGTGGCCCGGGGCAGAAAGTTAAAGAAGTTAAACGTAGATTGACACGGTAACTCGACGTCTTTTGTGGGTTAATTATACTTTTATATATATTTAACTACGGTATATTGTAATTAAATGAAATTATACAATAATACAAGAAAGAATTCAAAATGATTAAATTCATCCAATATTAATTTACCTGTAAATAATTATTAGAATTGTTTATAAAATAAAATTATTATTACCGAATTAGCGTAAAAATCTAAGTAAAATTTATAAATATTTTGTCTCGGGACTTAAAATAAATTCGCGATAATGAGAGAACGAAAGTAGAAAAGGGTAAAAACGTCGTTGGGGTGTCTGATCCGAACCATCACACTAGCACATTTAAGGCCAGATGGCAGAGCCTGCCGCTCTGGGGAACCCGGGATCTTCACCTTAAATTAGTACAGTCTTGCCCCTGTACATTATACTTTTCCATTAGAGATAGAGTCGTGCCGGTCATCTATCGAACTCGTTTAGGGAAGCACATATCTTCGATTGATTATATCCGAACTTTCCGGTCGGGTCCCTGGCTCCTAAGCTTTCCATATCCGGTCTCAATTTACATCATTGTGAGAACCCAGGCAAAACAAATTCGGCGATTTCAATCTTTTATTTCTTTTGTTTGTGAAAAAATTCGCTTATAACCACGTTGTTTTAAACCGAATAACTTGTAAAGAACTCAAATTTGTCCCGGAAATAATTTAATAATCATTTTACATTGGTATTTTTTAATCATTTTATAAACTTTTATGACATATAATTTTTGTATTTTTCTAATTTTATGAATATAAAAATGCCAGGCGAATGTAATATGTAAATTAATTCATTTCGTTTATTAAAATGTCGCCTCACGTTGCGTCAAATTAAATAATTCATAAAAATTAATATAATAAATACGTTTATAAAATAATTGACCACATCTGTTCACAATAATATTGTAAAACAGAATGTACAGTACTTATAAATTAATTAAATATTATCGGAAATGCTAATTTTTGAATCACGTGACGCCCGTCTTCCCACTTCGTGTAACCGAAGCGGTCGAAGTTGAAATAAAAGCGTAAACTCCATTAAAAGTAAAAACACACATCGGCGCGTGTCTAGGACAATAAACGGGTGTTCAATTTATATTTGACTGCGCACGAGCGTGACGACGAGTTAACGTTTAAACGCGTAGTGGAGTGCGTCATATCCGGCGCTACTCCCTACTCCATTTTGAACCCGACCGTTCTCGTTCGTGACCGTTCGCGTACGGACTTAACAGTCACGATTCAGTTAACACAACACAATCCTTAGGATTTCGGTGCCAATTTCTGATTCGAGATGCAGTAATAAGAATCAAATCATAAAAGCCAGAATATTCTCCAGTTCAAATGTTCTTTATTGATATTTGAATATTCAAATTACAAATCTTTTCGGACAATCCAACGGATGTTAAAGAAGCGAAGCCGGAAGATCGCCGATATTCGGTCCACCTCGGAGTCAAACTGTAAATATTTTAAATTAAAATTATATCTGAATATATTATAAGTAGAATTTTTCCCGTTTTCCTCAAATTAAGAGTCAAAATTTTGCGAAATATTTAGAAATTTCGAAAAAATGTATTTATTTAGAGGTATTTAACGCTTATAAACGGAAGTAAATAGTAATTATCGTTTAAATAATTAAAACTTAAGTGATTTTATTCTATAATCAATAAATAAAATTTTGTTTTATTACATGGGTACCGACCTCCTTTAATTCCAGCCACGGAATTTTCTTCAATTTTCTTTCTTTCGTCATCATCCTCTTGTGAAATATCAACAACTTGACCATTGGCTATACTTTGCTCATCTTTCGACACACTTATATTAATATAAAGACCTACATTTCTTCCTTTCAAATCGGATCGATCGGGTCCTACGATTTTCGTGTATCGACCTTCGAAACTTTCTAACAAAATAATTCCTAAAAAAAAATTAGTTTTTTCTTAATTCAATTTACATTCAAATAAAGCTAAACCTTTGAAGAACGGCCACGAAAGAAAACGTTTAAAAATAGCGAATTCTTACAAGAAAGTTTCCGGGGGAAAAAACACCGTTTACAGATGTCATTGCTACGGGTTCGAATACACAAAAATTAGTCTAAAGTACTGTACGTCAAAAAGGTACAATTAGAGATGTGTTGGGATCTTAACAGAGCTATAGAGCATGCCCGTAGGAGCAAAAAAGTCAAAGGAGTCATACCTCTAAATGTGACCCTTGCCGAGATGTAGCCCCCTTGTATGCATTAATTTCCTGCTATAAGCATCGATCAGTGCGCTGTACTCACTGTTAATAAACGCGCGATAAGCTTAGCGGAGCACGCAGTGTGATTCCCTATAGCGCTTGGAAATAGGCTTTACGCTGATTTCGGGAACTGTATCTCGCGAAGAGTCACATTTAGAGGTAAGGCTCCTTTGACTTTTTTGCTGCTACGGGCATGCTCGACAGCTCTGTTAAGATCCCAACAGCGTCATTCACATCTGTCAGAAAATAATTTATAAACGTTACTTACCAATAATGATGAATGTAAACAGGAACTTCCCGAAGGTTTTAGTCCATCGAATGCTGAAAATACGCGACTCGCACGTCTTTTTATAAGAAAACTATGCAATTCCTCGTAATTTCATTGGTTGCGTGACAGCTGGATGTCGATCAAACGATGATGATGTGAGCGGGAATGTTAAAATGTCCAATCCCGTGAAGGCTTATTTAAATTTACATATTTTACTTCAGTGACAGACCCGATTCCAGGCTACAAACACGGCTACTGGTAGAATATTTTCGTCCGTACTTGTGAGAAATTAGAAGACGCAGAAAAAAATTCCCAAGCACATTGGTCAAGATTTTTCATACGAGTGTTTAAAACGTCTAAAATTATTTAAAAATTGGAATTGTAACAAAATACTTCGTGCGCGATGTAAGAAATTTACAAGTTTAAAACAATTCGAGCTCCTCCCAGGGCTTGGCTTAAACTTGTTGTGGTTGAAAGTTATAACACATCGAGTTCACCAGTTGTCCGATGGATAAAACCACCGAACACTACTCGTAGTTTCTCCGGGTGTTATTCGAGTGTCTAATACCTAAATAGCGGCCAGTTATCCGTACAAAGTTCTTCTAAAAGTCATCTCTTGCCTCACCCGCGTTGCATTATTCTGTTAATCCTATGACAAATAACAGGGTCTTCCTCCACCAAATATAGATACGTATAAAGGCGAAGATCTAAGCTCTGGACATATTACACCGGGCTCTAAAGGGCCGCGTGTTACGTGTTTACGACTGCAGTTTGTTTGTTATGTGCATTGGCGTACCAGAGTTTTATGGAGGGGCTAGTAGAGGCCAACCTGACACAAAATTGAATTATTTCAAATTATTGTTCATTAACATGAAATTTTNTTTATAAACTTTTATGACATATAATTTTTGTATTTTTCTAATTTTATGAATATAAAAATGCCAGGCGAATGTAATATGTAAATTAATTCATTTCGTTTATTAAAATGTCGCCTCACGTTGCGTCAAATTAAATAATTCATAAAAATTAATATAATAAATACGTTTATAAAATAATTGACCACATCTGTTCACAATAATATTGTAAAACAGAATGTACAGTACTTATAAATTAATTAAATATTATCGGAAATGCTAATTTTTGAATCACGTGACGCCCGTCTTCCCACTTCGTGTAACCGAAGCGGTCGAAGTTGAAATAAAAGCGTAAACTCCATTAAAAGTAAAAACACACATCGGCGCGTGTCTAGGACAATAAACGGGTGTTCAATTTATATTTGACTGCGCACGAGCGTGACGACGAGTTAACGTTTAAACGCGTAGTGGAGTGCGTCATATCCGGCGCTACTCCCTACTCCATTTTGAACCCGACCGTTCTCGTTCGTGACCGTTCGCGTACGGACTTAACAGTCACGATTCAGTTAACACAACACAATCCTTAGGATTTCGGTGCCAATTTCTGATTCGAGATGCAGTAATAAGAATCAAATCATAAAAGCCAGAATATTCTCCAGTTCAAATGTTCTTTATTGATATTTGAATATTCAAATTACAAATCTTTTCGGACAATCCAACGGATGTTAAAGAAGCGAAGCCGGAAGATCGCCGATATTCGGTCCACCTCGGAGTCAAACTGTAAATATTTTAAATTAAAATTACATCTGAATATATTATAAGTAGAATTTTTCCCGTTTTCCTCAAATTAAGAGTCAAAATTTTGCGAAATATTTAGAAATTTCGAAAAAATGTATTTATTTAGAGGTATTTAACGCTTATAAACGGAAGTAAATAGTAATTATCGTTTAAATAATTAAAACTTAAGTGATTTTATTCTATAATCAATAAATAAAATTTTGTTTTATTACATGGGTACCGACCTCCTTTAATTCCAGCCACGGAATTTTCTTCAATTTTCTTTCTTTCGTCATC